GTGCGTATGGAATTTAGAGTCAATGTCGTAAACCAAGTAAAAGCATTTTTGGTCAATGAATTAGGAAAATATCTTAATTTTAAACCCTCATCGTTGACAATATCGCCAACTTCTGTTTCGTACCTAGCAATGTGTTTAATGGTCGACTCATTGGCATCACCAGCAATCTTGGTAAATTTAGGTACCTTACATCCCCTAGGTAATTCTGCCTGTCAAAGATAATCAGGCAAGGGCGAAGAGTAATTGGGCCTCTGAAGGCCAACATTGACCCCATATCGTGTTAATACTTCTTCTACTACATTTTCTATGTTCTTACGCCCAACAATGCTATTTCTTAACACTCGATCAACATCTTGGTTTCTCCTAAATACGACCATCCTAGGTTCGTATTATTCAATGAATTCATCGTCTTCATAAGTGGGTGCTTCCACTCTTCGAGGTCTAAAAGGAAGCTCATTGTTTCCCCCCTCTAGTTCTTCAAAAACTCTTAACGGCTTGTGGCGCATTTGAGTTGGTTCGACTCCGAATGAGTCGACCAATCTACTTATTTGGTCAATTACAAGATTAAGGGAAACTCCCATTTGTTGAGTTAATACATTTACTAACTCTAAATTACTCTCATCCATTTGTTTCCTTAAAGCCATAACAGAAGTAGTATTCAAATATGGTGTCGACTGAGGGACATAACTAACACCACCTGGTCGACCACTTGGGACATATCTGCCTTGGTTTCCAGTGGCCAATGTGTTTTCAGTATATATGGTTGGGTTTGACTGCAACCCAATCATCATGTAATAAGGCATACCATATTGGTAAGGGACAAATAGTGACCCTGGAACCTCTGAAAAGAATGGTCGATTTGGGTCAAGTGGTGATATCCCATGCATAGGTTCTGTCATTGTGACTGTTGTCACTGAACCATGAACAACGGTTGATCTCACAGGAGATAAACTTGTCGTACTTTGACCTGTGGTACTCACTGTTATGACGTCCACATCTTGTGTAGAAATCTGCGTATGTGTAGTGTTTGTGTCAGAGCGTGACATTTTAGACTTGGACAAAATTTTACCACTTATTAAATTCATACACACACAAACTAAGTATAAGAAACTTTGTAAAACCACACACAAAATACGTAATTATTAGCACCGTCCCACTGGGTTTGCCAATTTGTTTACCTCTGGTTTTGGCAAACAACATTGGTCTCTTATCAAAAAGTTTACTGACGAGATCAACCAGGGAAACTTAGTACAGTGCTTCAGTTTTTGAGTGTTTTCACAAAGCATGTTCAAAAGGGCTTGTTCAACTAAGGCGGAACGAATTTAAAATCAATAAAGCAGAACATGTAAAATAAAACAAAAGACGTTTTAAATTTTAAAAATAGATGACATGACATAAAAATAGTTGAAAATGAGTTAATTCAAACGTACATTGCCCTAACTTGACTCATTTCGCTCGTTCGCTTGGGTACTCTGAGTGACTAGCATGTAGGAATGTGAAAGATTGAACCTTTGATACGATGCACTAAATGCTTTATTTAAAATACACAAAAGTAACTACTTTTCAGCAGATTTTGCTTTTTTATAAGTCACATGTCTCTTGTAACTTCCCTCCATGAACCCACTTTCTCCATCCCTGCTATCGAACCCACTTTCTCTATCCTTAACACTTTTCTTTGCTAGTTATGCACTCTTTAGGCTTTTTAACATTCATGGGCCCAATCCATTCCTCATGAGGCCTCATTTCTGGTCGACTGTGTCCACAAGCCCAATTTACTTTTTGTGAAATCTCTCTCAGTCGACTGCTTCTGTAGTCGACTTCCTATAATTCAGAATTCTTTAAGAACCTTTTTTGGCTTTTGGTTGGATTTTAACCCTTTGCGAAAATCCTAGCCAACAAAGTGCTAGAGCTTTGGTCTCTTTGACTTGTGTGTTGCCTTCATGCATCATTTTTAGAGATTCAAACATGTTCTGAGTCATTTCTCTATTAGTGATTTTCTCATACTCAGTATATGGGATAACACTCAAAAGGATTATTCTGGCTTTGTGATGGTTTCTGAACTCTTTCTTCTGTTTATCTGTCATTTTTTTCTATCGATCTTCTGACCTTTTGCATCGACTGGATGAATATAGCAATCAGTTTGTCCCAGAGATCAACATCATTAGCTAAAAATAAACTCTCGATTTTGTCTTTTCAGTAATCAAAGATTGACGGTCTACCGCCGATTCTCTACTTCTCATCATGGTTGTCGTTGTTGTTGTTTTGACTTGGTTCTACCATAATGTTTTTCTTTCTTAAGATCTTTTTTGACATGGTTAAGTGTTAGCACCCAGAACCAGGCGCTCTGATGCCAATTGAAGGATAGAAAAACACAAGTAAGAGGGTTTGAATGAGGGTTTTTCAAAAACTAAAGCTTAAAAATACGTTGGTTATCCTGGTTCGTTTTGAACTCAAAACTACTCAGTCCATCCGTCAAGGTGATTTCGCCTCTCTCAATCGAGGTCTTAATCCACTAATCACAAATGATTACAATTCAAGAAGACAATTGTCAACGTCTTCTTGAGATCAAACCACAACTTGGTTTCTCAAGGAAATACAACTGGAATTAATTATATAATATGTTTGAGTTTGCTTCTAACAAGCTTTATCACAACTGTGTTGTTTACATAAATTTTAGCACAAAGACTATTTTTAACAGATAGAGAGGTGTGAGAAATTTTGAGCAACTGTTCGTATGCATGTTCGTGTGTGTTATCTGATTCGTCTTCATAGTTTTCTTTATATAGGAATTTGATCCAAGAGATTTGTTGGAGACATGTGCAATATTTCTGGAAGATTGATGATTTGATGTTATTATCCTTTCCAAAAATAAAGATCTTGTTTCAATCCATAATGTTTCAGCCGTTACAATCTTGATCTTGCAATGATTATCATTTAATGTGATGTTGGATTTACAATTCATCAGAGTATCTTGAACTTAAGTATCGAGTCTTAGAACTTCATAATAGATAAGTGCGCTAAGGCTTCCTTTGTTCTTTCAGAACTTCACTTATCAGAGTAAAGCTTGCAGCTTGGTGCTTTAGAAGTTATAACATCAGAACTTCTTTTACTAGCGTGTTACATGGATTTTCTTCGGAGTTTCTTATCCGCATATATCTTCCAGAGCTTCATAGAGAGAATTTCTCTGCTTTTTCATCAAAACTTCTATGTACCTTCATTTAAACGATTAGAGGACAAAATTATTCTTTAAAAATTATATATTTGTTATCATCAAAACTATAAAAAAGATTGGAATCAAACTATATTATTACAATATTATTATTTTATAGTGTACAAAGAAATAACCTATCACAAAATTCACATCTTGTGAGACAAGGTATATATTGTTGGCACATTTTCTTCATGTCGTGCAATTTAATTGGATTCATTAACGAAGGAGCTATAATCTAAAGTGGAGAAGTCATTGAAGCTTATGATATGCAACAAGACAATCATATATTTAGTCAAAAATCCAATCTCACATTGAAGGTGCAATCTTATAGAGACAATTTTCCATTTCATTGGGAACAAGTCATGAAATTAGTGCTTGAAGTCATTTAGTGTCCAATAAAATTTCAACTTGTAGATGGTTTCACAAATATAAGTTATATATCAACTAATTTTTTACTAATATAAGTTTTATTGATATAACTGGTAATATTTGAAAATTTTAATTTAATGATATATTTTGTTATAGATATATATTTAAATATCAAATTAAATATCAAATTATATGAATATTATATTCATCTCTTAACTCTTCAAAAATATATTATATTAATATTTTTTTCGTATAATTATCGGCAATCTTAACAATTAATGCTAATATTTTTCGTTGTTAATTAGAAAGAAAATATTAGTATAATATATTTTGAAGAATTAAAAAATAAAAAAAATTTAAATCAAAGAAGAAAAATAAACCACAAAGTTAATGACAGATACTAAAATTAAAATGAATGGAAGCCAATTATAAGAAATTATCAAAAAAAGTATTATTTGTTAAGTTTGATAGTGTGATATGAATTCATTGGACTTTTGAGTTTGATATTATGATAATAATTAATTTGAATATATACAAGAAAGTTCATCTTTATGTTGATAATTGTACTATTAATAATAGGAATGTAATTGGATTTCTAAGGTTAAAGCACTTAGTGACACAAACCAATGAAAAAACGATTCCATGTAATGGCTATCAATAGTTAATTGATTTGAACATGGGATAAAGATGGTGCACTTTAAATTTATTAACTGTATATATTAATGGAGATAAGCTTCATTATATATTATTCTGAGTGATCCAATTATAACAAAAATTAGGACCAATACGAGCGGTTTATGCTTATATTCTGAGTACTTTATTGCTTAACTATATTTGGGATAAAATGGATTAGAAAACGTGTTTAATGAGATAAAGGGAATTTAAAGAAAATATGTCTTACACAAAGAGTTGTATAACCGCAATTGCGATAAAACGATATTGAAAAATGCTGCTAATATCGAGATTATTATTTGTCCTTTTATAATAAAAATAAATTATAATTAATTGATACTAATACATATCGAAATCGCGAAAGTATGTTGTGATTTTTATTTAAAACCTTAGTCTAACATTAACATAGCTCTTGTAATAGTGTGAATAAGATATAGTTAATGTGTGACAGCATAATCACACTAAAGTTGGTGTAATAGAGTGAGTGTGTACTTGTTAGTATCCACCTTGTGGGGACAATTATATTTTTCTTCTATGCATGCGCTTGGGCCACTCTCGGCACAAAGAATTTCTTAGTGTGTTCTACAGAAACATGTCATGTTATTCTATATATCTATATCATTATATCTACTACATGGGACAACACAAAACGCGCTTTTATAATCTCATTGGTCCAATTCAGTTCCTATAAATACCCCCATATCTTATGAAGTGAAACCTCAATTGTGGCATTTCGACATTTTCTAATATGACAACTTCGAAAGTTTTGAGTGTTTTTTTCTTTGTGCTGTTAGGTTTCGGTATATGCTCTGCCGCTAGAACACTCCTTACCTTTGGTGGAGGTTATGGCGTTGATGTGAGTGGAGGTGGAGGTTATGGAGGTGGTGGAGGTGGAGGTGATGGTGGTGTAGATGGATATGGAGGAGGAGCTGGTGGAGGTGAAGGTGGTGGTGAATATGGAGGTGATGGTATTGTTGGTGGTGGTGGAGGAAGTGGAGGTGGCGGAGGTGGTGGGGTGGTTGAAGGTGGTGGATATGGTGGAGGGGCTGGCAAAGGTGGTGGAGAAGGATATGGCGGTGGTGGTGCACATGGTGGTGGTTATGCTGGTGGGGGTGGAGGTGGTAGCGGGGGTGGTGGAGGTGGTGGTGCTGGGGGTGCTGGTGGTGGTTATGGAGGTGGAGAAGGAGGCGGAGCTGGAGGTGGACATGGTGGAGAACATGGAGGAGGATATGGAGGTGGAGGTGGAAGTGGAGGTGGCGGAGGAGGTGGAGCACATGGTGGTGGATATGGTGGTGGGGAAGGAGCAGGTGGTGGATATGGGGGTGGAGAAGCAGGTGGTGGTGGGGTAGGTGGTGGTTCTGGTGGAGGTGGAGGTGGTGGAGGTGCCCATGGTGGAGGATACGGTGGTGGTGCTGGAGGTGGGGAAGGTGGTGGCCACGGTGGATATTATCCTTGAATTTACAAGAAAGTCAGTGTTATTATGAATGAAAACCTAGCTCCTCCTAAAAATAAGATGTGGTTAAGAGGATGCTTTTAAACTACTGCCATAATTTATCTTTTACGTGAAATGTTGAATGAAAGCAAATTAATGTTGTGTACTCGAAAAAAAATTATTACATATATATATCATGATATGCCATTGCTTTGCATGGTATATTAAGAACATAAATCTAATTGCTCAAACTCTAAATGAGTGAAATTTCTAATTAGAAACTGCCAACACTTAGACCACCTTCAAGGCTTCAAATGGTACAATTAACTGATGATTATTTTGAGAGTTTTATTATGGCATATCTCTTAACAATTCATCTAGACGTATTAATTTTGAAAAACTCATATTCAACCCCACAATAATTGAAATTAATGTTAAATATAATTCTAAACAAATAAAAAATATATTGATAGAGATGATTTGATAAAAAATAATTTTGAAAATTATAAAATAAAAATCATTGTCAAATAAAGATCAAATATGAAATTGTGAAGTTAAAATTACGAGAAAAAAATTACATATATAAAATTAAAAACCAAAAGATAAAGCTATAAATGTAAAATTGAATATAATACTGTTTTTTTAACATTGCAATATCAAATAGGTAATCAAATAAAATACACTCAATAAAGCGTCTTTCATTATCAAACACTTCATGTTTAAGCTTTTCTCACCTGTAAGGTAATTTAGTATTTTAGTATGTTGTTTATGTGGTTTTAGTATATGTATATAAATAGACGAGTGATAGTTATTATATTTTTAACCTTTCTTAAATCTTTTGTAGTCGTCATTGCAGAGCAGTATATATTATCTCATTGGTCTTGTTTTCATCATCTTGTGCACTAAAAATTAGTATCTAGAGTTCCGGTTCAAATCCACATGGAAACACGAGAAAAATGAGTGAAGCAATGAGGCATTGCGTGATTGATTTCGTTTCTTGAATTCATGTTAATCTTGAACGGAATCATAACAGAATCACATTTTTTGATTCTGCGGAATTAGGAAACACTGTGTTTGGTGAGATCTGAGTGACTTGCACAAAGTCGAAGATGAACGGAAACGATAGTTTGAGCACCAAACTTCTGGTGGTTGATGGCAAGAATTGGAATCGCTGGAGATATTCTTGATCTTGTTAATGATGGTTATGTTTCGGTTGCACTTCCAGAAAATGCAACAGATGCGCAGAGAAATGCTCAACGTGATTTGAGGAAGATCGGAAGGCGTTGTTCTACATCCATCAGTGTGTGAATGTGAACATGTTTGAGAAAATCACTAATTCGACGATGGCAAAGGTTGCGTGGGACACACTGGTTAGGTGTTACAGTGGTTATGCTTCAGTGAAGAAGGTGAAGCTTCAATCTCTACGAAAGCAGTATGAAAATCTCAACATGAAGGACAATGAGAAGGCATCTGAGTACATATCCAGAGTGATTCTAATCACTAATGAGATGAAAGCTTGTGGAGAAAATCTTTCTGAACAAGTAATCATTGAGAAGATATTGAGGTCTCTTACCCCCCCCCCCCCCAATTTGATTACATTTGTTGTAGCAATTGAACATTCTAAAGATCTGGACACCATGAGAATAGAAGAGTTGCAAAACAGTCTAGAGACGCAAGAGTTGCGTCTGACTGAAAGAACTTCTGAGAGGGAGGTTGAGCAGGCACTGAAAGCTTCTTTTGTCAAGAAGGACCATAAGCATTTTTGGTCATGTTGTACCCTGAAATTCACCCTCTTCATTTTTATCCAATTTGACTTATACTTCATTATCATATGCATACATACATGTCATTGGCTCTATACATATGGAATCGAGGCATTTCTTTGTGAAAAGAATTGTGAAAGTTGACTGCTTCATTAAGTAGCACTGTGAAGTAGAACTCAAGATTTTCCGTATTTTAGTGCACTAAACACGATTTCCAAGATATTCAATCAACAACTAATCAATTCATCACCATATCAAGCTCTTATGCGTTCTAACACGCTTTGAATTAAGCAGAAAGTCAAGCGTTTCAATTGATTTGAGACAGTGCAGACATAAACTCAATATTGTGCGTTTCAATCTCAGAAATTCATAATTTGAGATCAGAAGATGGTTTGGGAATAATTCTTCAGTCATTAGAGCTCTCTTGAGGTCTTCTCCAATTTAGCTATTCAGGTCGAAGGTTAATTTTGTGAGAAAAATTTTCTAAAGCACAAAATACTTGAAAGGAACTATCTAGTGGATATACTGTTTCTCTAGTTTTTGAATGCTTAAAAATTCATAACTTCTGACCGGAAAATCATCTGTGAGTTCCTCTTAGAGAATTTGAACCATATTGTTATTTTCTTCAAATTTCGTGTTCGGCTCGAAAGCTAATTCATTAAGGAAGATCTCCGAATGCGCGAGTACTCAAAAGCTAGACAGTGGAAATACTGTGAAAACAGTGTGCTGAACCGCTCTTTTTTCAGATGTTCAAAAATTCATACCATTCTCCAAGTTCAATGTTTTTGAGTGGTTCTTTGGGAAAAAAAATACATCTTGATTTTATCTTTGATTAATATGTTCGGGTAAGGAGTTAATTTATTGCAGAAGATTTCCAAAAGTGCCAATTATTAGAGAAAATTGCACGATGAGGTGGTTTGCTACCAGACCAGTTTTTGATATTATAAAAATTATAACTCTTTCAATTTTTATTGTATCAGGACGATTCTTGAAGCTTGAGATCAATAATTTAGTAAGCTTCCACTTTTCTTTAGGTCCCAAGTTCAGAATATGCTCTGAAGACTTCGATTTATGGCTCAATTCCTAATGTGTGCACATAAATAAGCTAAAATTTTCAATACGGTGAAATAAGTCCACTATTTCTCGCCGTTCGAAAAATTATAACTTGCTCGGTTTTTATCGTATCGGGTTAATTTTTTCAGCACGGCGTCACAAATTTCATCACCGACAATTTTGTTTCAGGTTACTTGTCTGAGTTCTGCACCAAAACGCCTTAACTTATGGTTTGTTCGCGAGCCGTACACAAAATAAGCTGTAAAAATCTGCACTGTAATACTTTTACACTGTTTCTCGCCGTTTAGGGCAACGTAACTTGCTCATTTTTATCATAACATAATGATTCTTTCGGCACCACGTCACAAATTTCATCTTCGATTTGTTTCAAGTCCTGCGTCAAGATTTCACATCGATTATCATAAGCTCGGGGTTTCTGTGTCGACAGTGCACAAAATAAGTTGAAAACCCAAATTTTGGAGCCAAACTATAAATTTTAAATTTCAAACACAACAACTCTCTTAATTTCCACTCTCTCAAAATCAAACTCACATTTTCTCTCAATCTCTCTCAATTTTCTTCAAACCTCTCAAGAACACCTTCAACCAAAATCAACAAAACTTCATAAAACTTCATCTCTTTCACTCCAATTCCGCAAGCTTTCTCTCTCTGCCTCCTAGCACCTCGCGCCACCAGTCTATCTGTCGTCTTTCTCCTGCGATCTCGCCTTCTTCTCCTCCGCGGATTCCACCATGAAATCACTCGTTTACATCGTGCATTTTGACCGTCGGTAGCTCCCTCTGTCTTCTGCTAGTGTCAGACGAGTAGCTCTCTCTTCTGATCTTGTTTTCTGATTCCGACATATTCATCCTCTTCCGATTCAATCCTCAATTTTGGTCAATTCTTGAATCCTAATTGATTAGTTATTTATTTGAGATAATTGTTTGTGAATTTGAGGAATTGATATAAACTTGAATTGATTTCTTGATTTGAATTTTATTTAGATATTGAAATTGGAGTTTGATTGATGTTGATGATGATGAATAAATGTGGAGTATGATAGATCTATGATGAATTGATGATAATTATGTGGATTCGATAACTCTTACACGTCAAAGTAATGTGTTGATGAAGTTCAATTGAATTTGCGCATCGATTTCGTTTCCGATCAAATGTTTGTTGGAGATTATTGATTTCATATGTTAATACATTAATTTGAATCAATTCGGTGATGATTTAAATTTTTCTGACATTGAAACTTTCGATTCAATTTATTGTATCAACACTTAATTTATTTTATTGGAAGCTTGGAACGTTTGTTCTGATGTGAATTAGTCGTTTCCAACTTATTTACAATTTCTTAGCGATAGTACTTGAACCGATAAGTGTGTTTTTGTGTCCATTTGCAATTGTTGAAATCACTTTTGATCAATATTGATTCAAGTATATATTGCTTCCTCTAAAATGTAAACATGTTGCAAAATGATTTCCAAAAATCGTTTGAGGTTTCTTTGAGCATGTCTATGCATTTATGGATAGTTAATGTTGAATTTAATCGTTTGTGGTATGATATTTCGGGTAAATTTGAGATATGGTGTAGTGCTATTCGGATTTTGAAAACACAATTAAAATGTGATTTAATTGTGTTTTAATGCACAAGTGAAGTTGCTTTGATGATTGGATGACATTTGGGTCGAGTTTTGTTGGTTTTGAATCGACATTTTGTGTGATTTATGATGTGGATGAGTTGCTGTCCGGAATTTGTAAACGGTAGCATACTTTTGTTTCAATTCTAGAATATTGAATAAGTGTAGTTAATCAGACTTTGGTTTAGCATTAGCATCAAGTTTATTCGGTTTTGATCTGAATTTTTGTGCATTTCATGTAATGAGATAATGCGGTCCGGTTTTTCTTTTAACATGCACATTGTGTTTCAATATTTATTTGATGCACGTTTATGCTTAATTGTGCAATTGTTAGCAATTGTTGTTGAGTTTGCACGATTTTGGTGCGTTTTCCAGATAATTTCATGACATGTACATAATGTTGTCCTATTTTGGAAGTTATGCTTGGAACGTGTTTTAATCGTTGAATTATGCATGAGCATGTTTCCTTTGGTTTTTGTTGGACATGTGCATTGAATTGTGACAATTTTGAATCCATATTTTATGCACTTCATGAGATGATGTACTTGCTTCCTGAAATTTG